GAGGCGTACTCCTCGTTGGTCACGTCCTCGGACTTGCGCACCCAAAGCGGGAGCGGCCAAGTCATCGAACCTCGTCTTCGAGGCGAAGACACCATGATTCGTAATGCTCCCCTGTCTGGAATGTCCAGCCGCCCGGCCAGGTAGAACGGACGCCCCGCTGCTATAATCATCTCAGCAAGGCGACAGCTATCTCTGATGATGATGATGATGATGATGATGATGATGATGATGATGATGCTGGTTGTGATGATGGTGGTAATGCCGATGAGGTGTTGATGATGGTGATGGTCGTAGTGATGAACATGACGATGATGATGCTGATGATGGTGACAATGATCACTATGTTGATCATGCTGATGCTGATTATGATGATGATGATGCTGATGATGATGATGATGATGGTGATGATGATAATGATAATGATGATGATGATGACGATGATGATGATGATGATGATGATGAGGATGAGGATGAGGATGAGGATGATGATGATAACGATGATGATGATGATGATGATGATGATGATGATGATGATGATGATGATGATGACGATGATGATGATGATGATGATGATGATGATGATGATGATGATGATGATGATGATGATGATGATGATGATGATGATGATGATGCTGACGATGAGGAGGAGCATGAGGATGAGGAGGGATGGAGGAGGAAATGGGGTTGGAGGAAGGAGAGGAGGAGGAGTAAGAGGAGGAAGAGGAGGAGGAGGATAAGTACAATGTAGGGTAGGAGGAGCGCGGATTGAGGAGGGGTGGGGGAGGAAGGAGGTGGAGAGGAGGGGGAATGGGGGAGGAGCGAGGAGGAGACGCAACTGGGGGAGAGGGAGCAGAGGGGCGACCAGGGATAGCGGGTCCCCGACATCCGCCGACGCCTCTGCGTTTCCCAGCCCGCGGGCCCCGAAGGTCTCGGCCCCTGCCGAGGGGTACGCATGGAGAGGAGACGGTGTCCGAGCAGACCGGAACGGAGGATCCCGCCGCATCGCCGATGCATGAGCGATGCGGCGTGATCCCCCGACGCCATCCACTCCGGCCACGTCAAGGAGGCCTAGAGTAGATCTTTTCCGCGTTGGCCTGCGACCTAAAATGTGATCAAGAGGACTATCGTTTGAGATATCTGGGCCAGCTGGCCGGCAGTTCCTTAAACCACACGTGGGCCAAGTTCTATTGTTAACGCTGGAGCGGCGTACGTGCTGAAGAAATTGGGCGAGCTTTCAAGCAAGTGGGTTCAGAACCTCGTGCTGAGCTTTTCGGGAGGAGGTTTCTTTATCACATGCTCGGCCGTATTTCTGGTGGCCCTGGGACCCGAAGAGGGCCACAAGAGGCCGAGGTGCTGGAAACGCCCAGGACCGAACAACTCGGTCTTCCTGATGACTGAGGGAGGGAAGGGGAGGGTGCTCGAGAGTGGGGCCAAGCACTCCTCCGACAGCAGAGGGAAGCCGACGCCACCACCGCCCAGAGGCAAGAGCAAGAGGCAGGGCACCGTGCTGGCGCGGGGTCCCCCTGTTCTGCGGCGCCCCGCCCGCAGACGTCTCCTGTCTCGGGCGCGGAAAGACACCGCTGCCCTCCTCGCTGAAAGGGGACCTGCTGATGGTGGTGGCTCCTCCCCCTCGCCTCCCCACATCTCCCACGCCTTCCCTCCCTCCCTCCCGTCATCCCCACCCCCCTTCTCCCCACACCCACACCGTCCCACACGCACGTGGGAAGACAGATCGAGAGGGCAGCGACAAGAGAACACCCGTCAGGGAAACACGATGAGGGGGGGGGCGGGGGGGGAGCGGGGCGGCAAGCGGACGGGCCAACCTCTAGTGAGCACTCCTTGCAGAGAGCCCCGGCACGCTGCCGATGTCGCGCGAGCGGACCACCCGAGGGGCCGCGCAGGCTGCCGCGCAGAGCCCACCGGCAAGAGGGGGGTGCGCAGCACGCCCGGGGAGCAGGGAGCAGAGGGAGGGCGGATACTCGCAGGGGATCGGGTGCGCCTGGCGGGGCCGACGGGGTGGCAGGCTCGAGTCTTCCAATCTGAATGCCCCGGTGGGGGCGGGCAGGCAGTGGGAGGCATGGGGGGGGGAGTGCGAGGATGGACAGTGGGACCTCGTGCGTTGGGCTGCTTCGCCGAATTCCTCCCCAGGCCGACTCCAGAATATAAGTGAAGCGCTGCCTTGATCTGAATCTCCTCGACGTCCGTGATGCTCGGGACCGGTCTCGAGGCTTCTTCCTCCCTCGACTGGAAGCCGCGGATGTGGAAGCCGCTCTGCGCGGTCCACGTGCAGTCGCTCCCGGCGCTGCTGTCCCCGTACCATATGCTGCTTTTGCCACGGGAGGTTGTGAACTGGATGCCGTCGGTGGAATCGCCCACTCGCGCCGAGACTTGTACAAGGTACTCTCCGTTTGCAAGGTCGAAGGGTGCTGGCTCGGCTCCGCGTGGACTCTCCAAGCGCCCCCACGTCCTGACGCTTCCGTCCTTGTACTTGAAGGCGATCTGGTCGACCGTCGAGCTCGTCCACACGCGAATGCTCACCACGGGATTGTCATCCTCACGGGCAGCGGTAGAAGCTGAGAGCGCAAAAGATGGAACGAGCGCTGGGGGGAAAGCGGCACAAGGAGAAGGATGGGGGGTGAGAAGGATGTGAAAGAGGACGAATAAACCAGCAACTGCGTGCCAGGAGTAGCTGCCTGACTCAAGAAGCAATCAATGCAAGAGTATGCATGTGCTGGGTGGGTTACATGAGAGAATCATGGAAGAGAAGGAAGAGAAAGAGGGCAGGAGGATAAGGAGGATAAGCAGGAGCAGGCAGAGCGTTGCATGGGAAGGAGGAGGATAAGGAGGATGAGAAAAAAGAAGTTAATATTTATAATGACAGAACTGGTAACAATAATAAGGAAAAGGAACATGATGAGGAGCATACCGGCAGGAGAAGGAGGAGGCAGCTGCGGGGAAAGGGGAACAGCAGGCACCGAGAGCAACGACTAAGGCCTCAAGGCTCAAAACAATGGGACTCAAGCAGGTCGGCCGAGCAGGCCAGACTCATTCTTAGCATCCTCCTGTGTTTTCCTGCTCCCCGTTCTCTTCCTCCTCCTCCTCCTCCTCCCTTCTCCTCTTGCTTACCCACGTTTTTCTTTACTCCTCCTACTCCTCGTTCCACGTTCCTCCTCATCCCTCCTCGTTCCTCATCCTCATCCTTCCTCTTTCCTCTCCTCCTCCTCCTCCTCCTCCTCCCTCCTCCACCTCCTTCCTTCTCCTCCTTCCTCTTTCCTCCTCCTCCTCCTCCTCCTCCTCTCTCCTCCTCCTCCTCCTCCTCCTCCTCCTCCTCCTCCTTCCTCCTTCCTGCTTCCTGTATCCTCCTCCACCACCTCCTCCTCCTCCTCATTTCTGATTCCTCGTGCTCCTGCCGCCACTGTAGCCAGTGGGCCAACATTACCTCGCCGAATTCGTTCTGAGGCCCATCGGAGTCCCCCCTGGAAGTCGTTCTCGCGGAACTCGGAAAAGGACTCGGAAAAGACTCCGAGCCACCCGTAATCTAGGTGGACTCCCTCCCATGCAGCGCCAAAGGGGGTCACCGCAAAAGCGGCCGCTACGCGAATTGCATCTCACACTTGGGCGGATCCCACCCGTGATGGGCCAGAGCCCAGCCAACTTGCAGCATGGAAATGTTGTTCAAGGCTGTAGAAGCACCTCTGCATCCGACGATTTACTTCAAACGCGCTGCTTCTTAAGACAACCGTTGGGACCCTCTGGCAAAAACACAGTGGTGTCTTTGGGGTGCCGTAGGACATCTCTCGGCTTCCTTCGTGCAACAGGAAGAATCCTCAGGTTATCCAGATGATTCCGCAAGACATCCAGAAGACTACTTACGCCGTCCTGAAGTTTCCTCAGGAAGTCCCGCCGATGCCAGAGAACATCTATAACATTCGACAAGGGGTCCGACGGAACCCACAACGCATCTTCTTTAGAACTCCTAATGACATCTTGAGGAACCCTTCGGAAGCCCGGCTGATGCCGTGACATAGCCAGAATAATATCAAAGCTTCGGTGGCAATTCATGGGAGCCTCCCATACCAGCTTGTCGGCTCTTGCGAATCGACGCTAATCAACGTTAGTCGACGCTAATCGATGCTAAGTCGACGCTAATCGACGCTAAACCGGAGCTGTCTCATCGACTCCTAGACGTTAATCGACGCTAAAGAGAAGTTGTTTAAGGTAGACCAGGCTCCCATGATTTGCCACCGAACGAGTCCGTCTGGAAGATTCTTCCGGACTTCTGGAGGATGCCTGAGGATACCTGAAGACGTCTGCTGCAATCCAACAACTTTCAGAATGCCTTCGGCCATCTGCCGGCATCCTCTGGTGGTAATCCTCGAGATGGCCAAGATAATACAACAGACTGTGTTGGAAACCGTTCGGGTTTCTGCGGGAACCGTTGAGCATCCTCCAGAAATCAGGCAGATTCGATCGAAAATGTGGGGCCCCTTAGGAAACCATTTGGATCCCTTGAGACATTTATCCCCGCATGATCCAGCGAGAAACTATTAAGACTTCCTTCTTGCCCCTTCGGAAGTCCGTGGAATTCGTGCGTTAAGAGGCTTCCGGAGAAGCTCCCGAGAGGCTTTGCGAATTGCTTCTCGAGAGGCGTCCAAGGGCCGTCCGAAAAGCTTCGCGCTGCTGTCGCGTTGCCTTCACGTTTTGCGCGTGTTTGTATTGCATTGCTCTCGGATTGGCTGGAGCTTGTTTCGCACAGCTGTTGCGTTGCATTGGGGCGCAATGTGCAACATTCGATAACATTTGAATGCAACCATGTGTTTGATCCAAGGGGTCACCGCCAAAGAACTGCTGCGAATGGTTTCGAAGTCTGTAGCGTTACCGCGTGACTCAATACAGCGATAATGTGGTTAGGTACCGTGGTTGTACATGTGCTATGTTGTTGGTGTATGCGTACGTGGTTCTCGTGCACATGGACGGAGGAGGACGGAATCTGAGGGCTGATGGAAGCCTGGTGGTGCCGAGCTGAAGGCAAACAAAAATTGCAGTAGCCCTGGACTCGGGCAGAGGGGGAGAGAAGGAGAAGGAAGAGGATAAAAAGGAGAGGGGACGGAATCCGTCAAGCGCACACCCAAAATGTGACTCGATGTGTCCTTGGCAATATTTGCGGATACGTGCATTGATGGCATTGATGTCAGTCCCAGGTGTCTGTTGCGGGTGAGCGCTTTTGATGTCGCATTCCGATCCCTGGGTTGGATTCGTGATGCATGTGCTTGACGCGTGCCATTCGATGCCCGTACATGGCGCATGCATGCATTGGCGTACGTTGCTCACGGGCGCTGTTGAATTTGCGCCTCGGGGCATCAAGGAGAAAGGAGGCATCTAGGACGCGAGGAGGACGCACACCCCCGACGCCATGGCTTCTCACAACGTGGGCTCACGGTCTGGAGCCCTGCCCTGGGACCGGTGTCTCGTCCCGAGTCCTGCTCGACGGGCCCGAGGTCCGGCAGGGCCTCCTGGACGCTCCGAGCAATCCAAACGACCAACCTCCCGCCACGACCTCCGCCACGACGCCAGGGGCCTGGTGGGGGAGGCAGGCGAAGCGCGAGGCGGGGGCCGAGGCCGCGGCGCAGGGGGCGCGCGTTCTTTGCTCCTGCCCCTCGGGCGCGCCGGCCGGCCTGTGGTCCCCCCACCCCGCCCGCTGGCACCCGGGCCCGCGCGAGCTCGCCGGCCCCGCCGCGGCCCGCGCGCGGACCGAGCACTGCCCCGGCGCTTGCGCCGCGCCGCGCGCGGCCTCCGCGCCGCCGCCGCCGGCGGCCTCGCGCGGCGCGCCCGCGGCGGCGGCGCCGGCGTCGCCCGCGGCGGCGGGGGGCGCCTGCGCGGCGGGGCGCAGCAGGCAGACCTCCTCGGGGGAGGGCGGGTGCCTCCTGCTGCTGCTGCTGCTGCTGCTGGGCGGGGCGCGCTCGCCCTCGCTGCCCCGCGGGGCTCTCCAGCCCCTGCTGTCCCGTGCTCCTCTCTCCTCGAGATCCTTTCCTCGCCTCCTCTTCCGGCCCTCCCCTCTCCTCCTGCTCCTCCTGCTTCTCTTCATCAGCACCCAAGATCCTCCTCCGTCTGCTCCTCCGGTCCGCCATGTGCATCCTCCCTTCTCCTCCTGCTCCTCCTGCTTCTCCTCATTCTCTTCCTGTCTCCTCCCGTCTCCTCCTCCTCCTCCTCCACCTCCTCCTCCTCCTCCTCCACCTCTTCCTTTTACTCGTCCCACCCTCCTCCTCATTCTTCCGATTTCTCTGTCGCCTCCTCCTCCTCCTCCTCCTCCTCCTCCTCCTCCTCCTCCTCTGCCTTCTTCCTCTTTTTCCTCCTCCGATCTCCTCCCTGTCATCATACCTCCTCCCTCCTCCACCTGGTCCCGCCTCATTCTCCTCCTGCTCATCCTCCTCCTCCTTCCTCGCCCTCATTATCCTTTTCCTCCTCCTCCTCCTCCTTCTCCCCGTCTGCCTCTACCTCCCTCCTTGTCCTGCTCCTTCTCCTCCCACATCGTCCTGCCTCCTCAGAATTCCTGCTCCTCATCCCCCTCCTTCTCCTCCTCATTCTCCTGCTCACCCGCCCAGCCCGTTCCTTGGCATTCGGCTGCGACGGGAAGCGCAGCAGGACCTCGGGAGAGAACTCCTCGGCGCTGGCTGGCCGGGCGCACCAACGGAGTAGAGGCAGGGGAGGGGTCCTCTTCGAAGGGGGCTGCTTCTAAGGAGGGGACAGCCGCCCTTCTAAGCAGGAACCCAACACTTCCTACAAACACACCAGCAGTTTTTAGAAACACGGAGCGGTCTCCTATAAGCGAATGAGTTAGTTCTTCGAAACACATCAGGAACAGCTTCCACGACGCAACCACAAGCTTCTTAGAAGGGCCTCCAAGAAGCCATCCCCCCTCCAGCCACCCCCTCTGGGAGTGTCCGAGCTGGGTCGTGACTCGAGGATTGAGAAGCTTTGGGGGCAGGTATTGGGAGGTCTTCGCGGGAACTATCAGAACCGATCGCGCCATACTGGAAATCATTCAGCTGGCTGCGGCCAAGATTCGCACAATATTGAACACGATTAGGCGGAATCCAAAGGGATCAGGAAGGGTATGACAATACACATACACACACATATATATATATATATATATAGACACCAGCGACGATGCTGAAGGTAACCTTGGGTTCCCTTTGACTGCTTCGGGGCGCCTGCGTGCGTAAGGCGGGCGTGTAGGGTCGCTGGGCGAGCGTACGAAGTGTACGTCGGCGTCGTATGTACGAATGCTTTTGGGCATGCCTAAACGAGTCGAGAGTGGTCGTTTGGGGTATGCTTGCTCTGGGTATAGCTCCCTGAATGTAGAATGGTAGTGTGTTTTATACCATGGAAGGGGGGCCGAGTGCAACCTCCCAGGAGTTGCATCCCAAAGGATCGAGTACGATGATGAAGGCTCGAGGGCCGAGGCTTCTACATTATTCATGATTCATTTTGCCCTGGCTGTGCTTCGTGGGGGCCGCTCGTCACCACGGCTGGGTTCCCGTCGAGCCCTTTGCCAGAGCGCACCCCTGGACGGGGACGGGTCTGGGGACAGGTATGAGGTTAGGTCGGGCATGTCCTCCTACAGGCGGATTTTGGACGAAAAAAGAAACAGACCCCAAGATTATTCAAACGAATGTCAAACATAGTCTAAAAATCGTCCCTACACTATTACTTGACAATTTTGAGCGGCCCTCGTTTCTAGCACCCTTTCGGAGCCTTCGGCAATCTATAGACAAGCGCGCTCCAACACTCGCAAAGTAGCTACTCGCAAATGGCCTGGATCTGCTGCGGGGGATTTACGATATAATCCAGCGGGACAAACCAATGTAATTTGTCTGACGTTTGCGAGTAGGCACTTTGAGAGTGGTGGAACGCGCTCAATGAATCAATGGACCCCTGGAACGCATCATTATCATGACTTCTTGCTCCGCTGGAGGTCTTCTACTTCTTCCGGAACCCAGCCCCCCAGCGACCCGAACGGATCGCGCCAGAGACTTTCTGTCCACGATCTGTTGCGTCTGTGCGTCGGCCTGGGACTCTCAGAAGACACTCCAGGATGACGTGCGTTCCTTCGCTGCTGTGCCCGGGCACCAGGCCGCGTGGCGTGCGCGCTTGCTTCCAGATCGGGTGTTGCTAGAAGTGCCTCTGGCCCAAGGTGCCCGCAGGATTTCCAAGGAGACCCCCACAGCCTCCAGAACTAGGGGAACGAAAAATGACATTATAAACCTAAAATCTCGGAGGTCCGCGTGGATTTCACGGATCCGCGCTGGACCCCCCTTGCGGCGCCTCCGGCGCCGCCCCTGGCGCGCTCCGCGCCCCAGGGAGGGGGCTCCAGCGCCGATCCGAGAAAGCCGCGCGGACATCCAAGCTTTTATGTTTTATGACACTCTTCGTTTCGCTAAGAGCACCCCTCGCGAGGCTCAGAGGGCCCCAGGGGCTCCAACTTGGGGCGACAGGCTGGGGGTATACCTTGGGTCGGGGGCCCCTTCAACAAACCCCGAACGAGGTGCTGGCTGCACCTGGAGCGCGTGCCAGACGGCCCCAGGCGGAGGGCAGAGGCAAGGGTGGCAGGAGGGAGGGAGGAGGCGGAGGAAGGAGGAGGAGGCGGAGGAAGGAGGAGGAGGCGGAGGAGGAGGAGGATCAGGAGGGGGGAGGAGGAGGAGGAGGAGGAGGAGGAGGAGGAGGAGGAGGAGGAGGAGGAGGAGGAGGAGGGGGGAGGGAGGAGGAGGAGGAGGAGGAGGGAGGAGGGAGGAGAAGGAGGAGGAGGAGGAGGAGGAGGAGGAGGGGGGCCGCAGTGGCTCCCACATGGAGCGACAATCTGGGGGTATACCTTGGGGGCCAGGGGCACCTTCCTAGCTGAGCCCCCCCCGCAGAGCCCCCGGGGCGGATCGTCTTGCGTAGCGACGGCTGGGGCCGCCCGATCCCCCTGGAGAGTGGCCCGGAGATCGATTCCGCAGGGCCTCGCTTGCCCCTGTCGGATCCCTGTCTTGGCGGCGAACCAGGGGGGGGAAGTGAGAAGGAGAAGACCTTCTCAGAAGGCGGCGGGGCTTCTCAGAAGACCCTATCGCGCCTTTTCCGAGAATATGTTTTTGTTGTGGGCCTTCGGGGAAGGCTTGGAACAACACTTCTCAGAAGGCCGGGGGACTTCTGGGCCTTCTGAGAAGGCCCGCCCTTTCTCACTTCCTCGCCTCGCTCGTCGCCGAGCCACGGCTGGAATCCCTCCCCGTGGAGAGGCCCAAAGATCGATGCCATCAGGGTCTCGTTCGTCACTGTCAGATCTATACAAAAGAAACCAACATTAACATAAACTGGTGGCGCTCAGCGCGGATTTCTTGGATCCGCGCTGGGCCCCCTCCCTGGCGCGCGGGGCGCGCAAGGGGCGGCGCCGGAGGCGCCGCCGGAGGGCCCAGCTCGGATCGAAGAAATCCGCGCGGAACGCCAAAAGTTGATATAGAGTCCAAAACCCAGATAGCAGGGCGCCCGAAGGGCGTGGAAAGGCCGGTCTGAGAACTCTGGAAGGACCTGGAGATGAGCTTCCGAAGGACCTTCTGGAGAGCTTCCGGGCGCGCGTACTGGGAAACGCTTGGAAAAGGTCTGCAAGGACCCGCCAAAACCTCGAGCACGTCCCTCCGGGGATTTTTCACCGAAGCCGCAACGACCTCCGGGGCTACCCTGCGGCTCCGGCGTCTTCATCTGAAGCCCTCTTGGCTCTCCACGGAGCTATCCAGGAATGTTTCTGCCGTCCTTTCTTCTTCGACTACAGTCGGGGCGTTGACCTAAGGAACCCTAAATCAGGAACGAGGCCCCTTTTTCCCACAAGTTAAACTTCGATTTCGAATCGAAACCCTAAGCAAAACCAAAGGCGAACTGCAAAACAACTAAGGAACACATAGCCCCTCCCCAACGAAAAGGGTTCCTTCCTCGGCACCCCGACTGTACTCCTACCAAGGGCCCCAGAGGTCTCGCGCGCTTCCCGAGCGGTATTTGTTTGCCCCGGATCCATTCTTGAGATGGCCCCGGGGCCCCATGAAGGCCTCCAGAGTTAAGTCGGGCGTGTCCCTCTGCATGGGGGTTTTGGAAGAGGGATCAAACAGATTCAAAACATGCTACAACAATCTTCGAACATATTCCAAAATCGTCTCCACACTGTTTTGTGACTACGGTTGAATATTCTTTCTGTAGAGGGACAGGCCCGACTTAACCCCAGAGGCCGCCAGCGAGGAGAGGCGCCCGAATCGGAAGCGAGCAGATCGTCGGAGAGATCTGGGGCGCCGCGCGTCGTTCCCGGCGCTGCCTTCCCGAGGAGGGGGTCCGAGAGCCCTGGAGCCCATGGGGCTGGCCAGCTCTGGACACGCTGGACCCGACGAGGTTGTCGCGCTAGGGTTCGGTCGGGCGTGTCCCCCTACAGGGGGATGTTGGACGAGAGATCAGAAGTAGCTGAACATATAACAAAAATAAATCGTCCCCGGAGCAATGTTTGACAATTTTCCAATGTTCCTCCTGTAAAGGAACAGGCCCGACTTAATGCTAGAAGAGGAAACCAACAACATAAACACAATTGTTTGGCGCTCCGCGCGGATCTCTGGTATCTGCGCTGACCCCCCTTCACTGGCGCGCGGAGCGCGCCAGGGGCGGCGCAGGAGGCGCCGCCAGGGGGCCCCAGCGCGGATGCACGAAATCCGCGCAGAGCGCCAAAAGTTTATGTTGATGGCGTTCTGTTCATCTTCGACATGCGCATCGTGTACATACTTCTGCAACCTTGAGCACGGTTCTTCCACCACCCTCCGTGCCGGCGGAGCAGCCCTTCAATTTTTACTTCCGCCAGCTTCTGCCGACCCTTCGCCGAGGCGAAGATGCGCAATCTCCTGCTCCTCCTCCTTGTCACCCTCTTTTTCATCATCCGTTTCCTTTTCCTTTTCCTCCTCCCCCTCCTCCTCCCCCTCCTCCTCCTCCACCTCCTCCTCTTCCTCCTCCTCCTCCCTTCCTCCTCCTCCTCCTCCTGCCCCTCCCCCTCCCCCTCCCGCTCCACCTCCCTCCCCCCCCCCCCTTCTCCCTCATCCTCCACCTTTCCTCCTCCTCCTCCTTTCTCCTTCTCTCTTCCTCCTCCTCCTCCTCCTCCTCCTCCTCCTCCTCCTCCTCCTCCTCCTCCTCCTCCTCCTCCTCCTCCTCCTCCTCCTCCTCCTCCTCCTCCTCCTCCTCCTCCTCCTCCCCCCCCTCCTCCTCACTCCTCCTCCTCCTCCTCCTCCTCCTCCTCCTCCTCCTCCTCCTCTCCTCCTCCCCTCCTCCTCCTCCTACCCCTCCCCTCCTCCATCCTCTCCTCCTCCCACCTCCCCCTCTCCCCCTCCTCCTCCTCCTCCTCCTCCTCCTCCTCCTCCTCCTCCTCCTCCTCCTACTCCTCCTCCTCCTGCTGCATCAGTCGGCCCGTATCATGAGGATGCGCGGTAAGGATGCCAGGGCCTTGGAAGGCCATTTCGAAGCTCTTCGAGCGGGGCGCGGCCAACGAGAGAGGTCAAGGATGGGCCGAAGGGGCAATGATGCAAGGGATCCCTTGGGAAGGTTGCCCATCCTTACTATGCGGGTTGGCTGCAGGGTTGACGGAGGGCTGTGGGTGCGTGTTGTCGGATGGGGATTCCCGCTCGAACGGGTGCCTCCCCCGGGGTGCGACAACTCGCGTCCATACCCAAGCCTGCCCTCCTCCCCCCCGGCCACATATGGGTATGGGTATGTGTGTGTGTGCTGTTCGTTCGTCATGTTGGCCTGGACGAATGGATGGGGGGTGGGGGGGTACTAATGTGGGAGGGTAACGAATCAGCTCACGTTGCTGGTTTTCCCAGCGCCTCTCGGCGCCGGAGGCGTCCATGTCTTGAGGAAAGCGCCTGGCGGCCTTCGGAGGGGCGAGATGCGGGGAACGCGAGGGCGATGGCCCCGTCTGGGCGCCAGGCCTGGTCAACATCGGCGCGAACCGAGCTCCGGGCACTGATGGAGGAACAAACAACACAACAGACACAATTTCCCCGAGAGCCGCGCGCATTTCTTGGATCGGCGCTGGATCCACCTCCCTGGCGCGCGGAACGCGCCTGGGTCGGCGCCGGAGGCGGCGCAAGGGGGGCCCCAGCGCCGACCCAAGAAACCCGAGCGGCCTCTGAGAAAGTATGCTTATGTCATTCTTTGCTCTTCTGGGGACCGGGGAGCTCTGGATGCCTGTGCGGAGGTCCCCAAAAGCCCCCGAGGTCCAACAAGAAAATGCAGTCGGTAACCTTTGCTTGGCGTGGGCACTCGTGGAACGCTCTCGGCGAGGCGCAGCTGCTGGAACGCATCCCCAGGATGAAAAAGTAGCAACGTACACATAAGCTTTCGGGGGTCTGAGCATATTTCTTGGATCAGCGCTGTACCGCCCACCCTGGCGCGCGAAGCGCGCCAAGGGCTTCGATGGAGACGCCGCTAGGGGGATACTGCCGATCCAGGAAAACCGCATGGAACCTAAAACACCTATGTTTGTAGAACTTTCTCGTCTCTTAGATCGGGGCTATCCAGGCACCCGTGGAACCCTGGAGCGTTCTCGGCGAGGCGTAGCTGCTGGGAAACATCCCGAGGCGAGAACACCTCCAAGAACAAACGGGAACTAAGAAAGCCCGAACTGGCCTGGAGCTTGCCCCTTATCCCTAAGATGGACAAACTGGATGCGACGAGCAATGCCAAGGATGTGCCTTCAGAAACTGACGGAGCCCGTGAGATCGGCATCGAGATATAGCGACGGAAAGGGACGGGTCCTACACGCGAAGACACAGCGACCTTCTGCCGCGGCTTCCGCGGGCCGGCGGCGAGGCACACTACATGGGGCTTTCTCGCGAATACTGGCACAGCCGAACGGGTTTTCTGCGTCGCTCCAAATGTGAGTCCAAGAATCAGAAGGAACCGTTGGGGCCAGAAATGCATGCGTGAGCGGCCCAATAGCGTCTCTCGATTTCAGGCGGATCCTGACAGGCAGCCAGAGCTGAAACGCAGCAGTCCCGTAGCCGCCGCAGCCGCGGGGGGAAACAAGACATGCATCTTTCGCCGCTGGCAGCGCCGACCCCCGCCCCCCCGAGAGATAACAGAGGGGCGCCCTCTATCGCTCCGAAGCCCAACATTCTGGGGCGCCAGGCTTGGGGACAGGGGCATGTGCTTCAGACTGGTGAAGGCTCTGGCGAGCAAGACTCGTCGTCATAGTCGTCGTCGTCGACGTCCTCCTCGTCGTCGTCGTCGTCGTCGTCGTCGTCGTCGTCGTCGTCGTCGTCCTCGTCGTCGTCGTCCTCGTCGTCGTCGTCGTCGTCGTCAGCGCAGACGCGGCCCTGCTCCGCCCTGCCAGTGTCTCCAGCAGCGGCGACCGCGAGGCGACCAGGGGCCGCCATCCGCCGTCCAGCACGTCGTCCTCCGGCCAGTCCTGCAGACGGGCTGGGCAGGCTCTGGGCCGCCGGGGCCCGGCCACGGGGAACAACAACCTCCTCGCCATCAAACTCATATTCTTCGAATTCCTCCTCCTCCTCGTCCTCCACCTCCTCTCTACCATACCTCCTCCTGTTCCTCCTTCCCTCCGCCTGATCTTCCTCCTCCTCCTCCTCTTCTCCTCCAACTCGTCCTCCTCTCTCTCCTCCTCACTCCTCCTCCGCCATACCACCTCCCTCCCCTCCTCCTCCACCTCCTCCTCCTCCTCCTCCTCCTCCTGCTCCTCCTCCTACCCTCCTCGCTGCTCCTAGCTCGCTCGCTCCTGCTCCTTGCTCCCCTCCTCCTCCTTCCTCCTCCTCCCCTCCTCCTCCTCCTACCTCCTCCTACCTCCCCCTCCTCCTCCTCCTCCTCCTCCTCCACCTCCTCCTCGCTCCTCCTCCATCCTCCTCCTCCTGTCCTCCTCTCCCTCCTCCCCCCTCCTCATTACCCCCTCCTCCCCCTCCTTTCCCCCTACCTCCTAGTCATCCTCCTACCTCCTCCTCCTCGGTTGCCCTCCTCGTCCTCCTCCCCCACCTCCTGCCTCCACCTCCTCTTCACTCCTCCTCCTCCTCCTCCCTGTCCCTCCTCCTCCTCCTCCTCCTCCTCCTCCCTGTCTCTCCTCCTCCTCCTCCTCCTCCGCCTCCTCCTCTCCTCCTCCTCCTCAAAACTCATCATCATCATCATCAACATCCACATCATCCACAATCATCATCATCATCATCATCATCCAAATCATCGATCACATACATCATCATCGTCATCATCCTCAATCCTCATACTCTCAACCTCCATCCTCATCATCATCATCATCATCATCATCATCAACATCATCAGCATCAGCATCAGCATCATCATACACATCATCATCATCATCATCATCATCAATCATCATCATCATCATCATCATCATCATCATCATCATCATCGATCATCACGTCATCACCTCCTCTTTCCCCTTCCTCCTTCTCCTCCCCCCTCGTCTCCTACTCACTTCCTCCTCCCCCCCTCCTCCTCCACCATTGATCCCCTACGTCCTGCCACACGGGGGGCGGGGGGAAAAAAACCTCATGCTAAACCGCCGGCTGCTGCAGAAACAGAGGCCAATACCTGCAGCGGCGCCACCGTGCAGCGCCGTGCGCCGCACGGCCGCGCAGAAACAGAGGCCAATACCTGCAGCGGCGCCACCGTGCAGCGCCGTGCGCCGCACGGCCGCGCAACACCACCAAGCTGCGCGGGCGCACCCCCGGCCCACCCCGATGGGGCGGCGCGCGACGGATGGGACCTGGGAGCCCCGAGCTGGGGGGGAACCCAGCAAGTAGCCAGCCTCGAACATATCCCTATCCCTATGATGGGCGAGCAAAAAGCGAGGACAATCTTAGGGATAGGCCCTCAAAAACTGAGGGAATCCTTGAGATCGGCATCGAGGTGAGGTGATGCCAAACATAGGGATAGGGATATGTTCCAGGCTGGTAAGCAAGGGAGGGGGCCCAGGTCGCCAACCGCCGATCACGCCCCCAAGGGCAGGCACGCCCCCCACCCGCCTCCGCCAGTTCTGCGGCCTGGCCCCCCGAGCAAGTCTCACCCCGCCGACACGGGCGGCGCCGACCGCCCCGCCGGCTCCACGGGTGGGGGGTGCTCCGGCCATCCCCGAGTCCTTGACGGGGCCCCTGCTGTCCAAGCCAGGGGGGGACTCCTCCTCCTCCTCCTCCTCCTCCTCTTCTTTTTCTTTTTCTTCTTCTTCTTCCTCCTCCTCCTCCTCCTCCTCCACCTCCTCCACCTCCACCTCCTCCTCCTCCTCCTCCTCCTCATCCTCCTCCTCCCTCCTCCTCCTCCTTCCGCCCTTCCTCCTCTCCTCCTCTCCCTCCTCCTCCTCCACCTCCTCCTCCCCCCCCTCCCGTGCAACGCCCCCCCCCCCGGCCGCCGCCTCCCCCGCGCGGTCCTCGGGCTCCGCGCAGTTGCAGACCAGCACGTGGCCGCGCCGTGCGGGACCAGAGCGGCCGCTGCCCGAGAGCAGCTCGCGCAGGAACTGGGACACCCTTGCCGAGCTCCAGTGCTGGAGCACGTCCTCCGGGGACGCTGCGCTCTCGACGAATCCTCCTCGTGCTCCTCCTTCTCCATCCCTCCTTGCGCTCCTCCTCCTCCTCCCTTTCTCCTCGTACCTTTCCTTCCTCTCTGCCGACCTCCTCCTCGTCATCAGGTCTTCCCTTTCCCCGCCCCGTCATCCTTTTCTCCCCCATCCGCAGCATACCACCTTGTGATGGCGTCCGCTCCACTCCACTTCTCCTCCTCCCGCTTCTCCTCCTTCTTCCCTCTCCTTCTCTGTATTCCTCCTCCCTCCTGCCCCCTCTCTCCTCCAGAACCCCGACGTCATGATTTGTTCCTAACGTGGGCCCCCAGGGATCTGGACCGCTTCCCCAAGACCAGTCATCCTGAATCGTTGTTTGACCGTCCCGAGGCCCGGTAAAGGCTCCCAGGACGCCCAAAACAACGAAACACCTTCCGTTCTGTGTTTGTTGTTCAAGCCGCAAGGGGGATGGGGTCCAGCTCCCTCCCCTCCTCCTCCCTCCCCAGTCTCCTCCGCCATCACCTCCTCCCCCTCCTCCTCTCCTCCTCCTCCTCTTCCTCCTCCTCCTCCTCCTCCTCCTCCTCCTCCTCCTCCTCCTCTGCAGCCCCCGCCCTCTCCGGCCCCTGCCACGGCGCGCGAGGCGCGGTCATCTCCGCGCCTCTTCGCCTCGGCGTCGCATCGGGGAGCCAAGACTCGGGTCGGACTCCGCGTCGGATCAGGCCGCATCGGCACGGAGCCGGGATCGAACGGCATCGGCCACGCTAGGGTGCACCAGGGCTCCGTGCAAGCGTTGGGCTGCATCGGGTCGCTCGGAATGCCAAGGGTCGAGTCGGATCGAGGCCGCCGAAGCCGAAGCCGAGCTGGCCGGGCCAGACCGAAGCGGGACTTGGGGGGGGAGGGGATCCTTTCGTTGCACCCTCGCGTCGAGAGATCTGATGTTACTGCCCAAGGGATTGGGCTGAGAGTGCCGGCAGCCGTCGAAGGACCCCCCCCGCGCTTCCAGAGGGAAACGCGGGGGAGGAGCGGGAGGGGAGAGGAGAGGCCTAGAGCCGAGTAGGGCTCGCAGGGGAGGTCGAGTATGCGCCGCAGCGGTGTGGAAGCTCACGCAAAGCTCAAGCACTTATTCCTGAGCCAATGCCCTGGACATGTAGAGACGGGCCCAGGCCAGAATAACATCCCTCAATAACACAAAGACACTCCGTCAACCAAACCACACAGAACAGCGAAGGGCACCCTCCCCAGGATGCACATACACGTCCAACAACCCCGAAGAACGCTGGGGCACCCTCCCCGAATCGATCTCGATCTTATACCTCGGTCCGACTGTGTGCGTCGCAGAGGTGTGAGAGCTCACACAAAACTTCAGCATGTCTTGCTGAGCCAATGTCCTGGAGAGGTATATCGGCGGTGGACAAACCTCCCATTAGTAGACCTCCCCTTAGTGAAGACGGCCTGGGACCGAACGCCGCGGACCTGGACCCGCAAAAATGACGCCCGCGACGCCCTCTCGCGAACCCAAAACGGCCAAGTCCTTAATCGACGTGTCAGGGTAGGAGGTCTGTCTCCCCCCGAATACAACAGGGGCGCAGTGGAAACCTGGGTTGGAGGAGCGTGCCTTCGGTGCCTTGGGGTGTGTTCGCTCGCGGGGGCCTCTCTCTGGACGGGTCCCTGGCCTGACTCCCAGACGTGCGCAGAGAGCTCGAGGATGGGCTGGAGGGGGAGGCGAGGGGCGATGAGGGAGGTGGAGGAGGAGGAGGAGGAGGACGAGGAGGAGGAGGAGGACGAGGAGGAGGAGGGAGGAGAGGAGGAGGGTGAGAGGAGGAGGAGGAGGAGGAGGAGGAAGGAGGAGGAGGAGATGAGTAGGGGCGGCTGACCTATTATATTCTATTCTACCGCTATGCGTGGTGACCTGCAGCTAGGCGGGGCACGCTGGGCCAATTCACAAATCAGGGAACCTTCCTCCAGACTTAGGAGGCAATCCCTTCTTCAGACGGCTGAGCACTTCGTGGCCAGCGCGGGTGGGTGGCAAACCGTCCACCCTGAGGTTCCTTGGGTTCTCTACGCAGTGGCACCCGCAGACCTGGCAAAACAACACTCCTCTGAGAGTGGCGAGCTGATGCGAGGCATGGCACAGCTCGGCCACAGGATGATCCGTTCCCCCACCCACTCCCGCCTCCAACGGCCCAAGATCATCAGGAGGAGGTGAGGGCCCCCTGCCAGGAGGGTCAGGTGCACTCCTAGCAGGGAGGGCGTGAATTCGCTGATTTATCCCAGCACGGGGCTTGCAAATACAAAGCCAAAACTCACAGAGGGGGCCTCGACGTGCGAACGAGCGTGCGCACCAACGACACTTAAAGGGCGAGGAACGCACCACACAGTCATGACCCGAGTCACGGAGCCTGCAAAGGCGCTCATCCAGAGACCTCACAGAGGCACGGGTGCGTCCTATTCGTCGTACTTTCTCACGATCAGAGCAAAATAAAACCTCCCCCTGGACAGACAGAAGGCGGCCCAAAACCTTGAATGCCCGCTCATCGGCCTGGATGGTCCGTTGGGCCGCATCTTCTGTCACCTGGCCAGCATCAGCAGCCTTACCCGAAAGAAAAATCAGCGGCTTCATTGAGGTAGACCTCAGTGTCACTCAAAACCATGTGAAACGCCTGAGCCTGGGTGGGGTGACCTTTGGTCCAACGAGCATCAACCGTACCGCCCCGAGCCCCCAGGACCTCATGGTATATCTTCCAAAGATCAAGCATAGACGATTTAGCCTTCATACTTAGGGGGCGACGCACACCTTTCACGACGGCCATATTGCCTGACTATACTCTGACATTGCCAGTTGAGCGCATAACCAGCTGTACAAGTGCAAATAATTCGGCCCGACCAGCAGACTGCACCTTAGTTGGCAGTGTCCCACTGGCTACGCCGTCAAAGAGGCCTGCTGGACCTGGGTGGACGATCGCCCATCCACATCGCCTAAGTCGCCAGTCTTTATGATATCTACCTCCGCTGCCGTCAATTCCCCAGACACCCCCTTCGACTCGAGCTCCCGCACTCAACGTTCCCCAATCCCAAGAGAGCTCCATGGGCCCGGGAAGGTGGCCAACACTGGCGGACAAGGGCGGGAGCCCACGCATCCAGAAACAGGAGGCTTCAGGAGAACTCAGAGCTTCAGCCTTGAACTCATTCGATCGGTCGATCGCGCAGTCGGGGATATCATCATTACACCTGCAGGACCAAAACCGATGGGCAGCAGTTTCGGCCCCGAGGCTGCATCTAGGGCACTTGCCATTAGTAGAGGACTCGTAGCCCGCCTTAGCAAGTCGGTCCTCAGTCCAAAAACCAGCGGTCAGAACATTTCTGATCATTCCAGCGGCTTCAAAAGAGCCTTCCCTTTCAAGTTTCCTCAAAAACATCCGAGGGGCAGTAGAATCAACTCCTCCTCCTAAACCAGCTCCTTCATAATGTTTTGCAGCCCCGCTCCACGACATGTCCCCGCGCACCTCCACGAGCGTGCTCCAGAGGGCGTGGGGGAAAGCCTGGTCGCTGGAGCGGACGTGCATTCCATTGGGAAAAAATCCAATATGCTGGGCTACGCGGTACCACATTGAGGTCGAGGAGCACCGCAACTGTAGCCGCCAATGGACCACGCACACATTGCCACCGATGCTTGGTCTTGCTGAACCTCGCAACTACAATGTCCCAGCATCGCGAAACCTCCATTCGTTTAGTGTGCGCAAGGTCCTGCCATACATCGTAGAAGCTCACAAGCTGCTCATAGCGAAGCCTAAACTGGGGGTCATTCTTGGCAGGGCTGATAAGCCCCAAGACGGTGGTAGTGCAGGCCCCAGGGTTCCATCTACCACTGCACATGGCCGCTTGGGCTCTCATAGACTGGATTTGCCCTGTAGTAAGCCCCAACACCTGATGGGACCACGAGCCGACAGCAAGGACCCCAGGTTTGTACAATCGCCTCGCGGATCCAACAATACGGGCCAGAAAAAGCAACCTTTTTAGCCTTCTTGGAGGCCTGGCAACGTCGTTGCATTAACTTCACAGTAGATCTCTTTTTCCCCGCCGTGGTCATGACCCCCAGATCTCGAGTTGCAGCCTGTAATTGAATATGCAACCCTGTCGCCCTGAAACGGGCGGCAAGCTCGCGTCCAAGGTCGGTATGGCTGCACACAAGAGCAGACTTGCCAGAAATGGTGCAACCAACTTCTTCAAGCTGGTGGGTCAACAACATGGCGGCAGGCACTAGAGAGTCCAAAATATCCTTCATATTTCCGACCTGAGACTGGGTAATATCGTCTACATAGGATTTAACCTGGACGGGGCGATATTGCACATGAGCCAAGTCCAAGATATCATACAAGTAGATCTTAACCCATGACATGGATTGCATGCACCCCGCCAGGATACCCCGCCCAGGGGGAATAATATCAGAAACAAAACCACCAACCTCCAGAACACGAGGGGATTCATGAATCATAACACCAAGGTAGAGGAGGTGGAGCGGGTAATCCATCTTCACAGCAAACTCAATCAGCCTGTGCGGCTGGACAGTGTCGAAAAAACGCTTGAGGTCCCAGTGGGCTCCGACCGAGCAGAGCCCCAACATACGAGCCATCTCATGGCCGAGCTCGCGAAGTAAGACGGCCTGGAGCGCGCTGGATCCTCTCGCAGCGGTGTCCCAATAATTATACCTGTCTAACGTCCATCTATCGAGATCAGAGTTACGAGCCTTGCAGTAAACCTTGTAAAGGGTGGGGCATTTACAAATCGGGCGATCACACTCAATATTCTTAGGAAGCAAAGCAATAACACTAAGAAAAACCTGGGATGGCCAGGACAGTGAAGCTTCACACTGATTGAGGAGATGCGTGTACCCCAAAACGGCATCCCGAGGTAAATCAACCAACGCCCGAGGAGCCCAATAGTCGACCCCAACCGCAGTAGTGTTAGAACAACACCTCGCAGCTCTCAACACATCAATGGGT